ATGATTCAGCACAGATCTTGTAATCATATTAGAAGCCTTGAGACATGGAACATTTAGTTCTATTTTTCATGGTGTCATATTTTTGCTGTTTCAGATTATAGCAATTTTAGGCTTGACGTCTTGGGCAGCAATCGGCCAAGAGGCCTTTCATTAATGTCTCCAACCCTTTCTTGGAAATTCTGAGTTTAATGATGCATTAAAAGCTCATTATGGCAAATACTTACCTGGCAGGTTTTTAGATCTGTGTAGCACTTGGGATATTAAAGCTGCATGTTTATAATACAGAAAAGCCCATTCTAGGATAACCTCAAACAGCAAAACGATATTATTCTTCTGTTACAATAGTGTCCAAGGCCCTTTCTGCTGGGCACCCTGCGAACACAGCAACACAGTCTCTGCCCTGAAGAGCTTACAATCTAATTTAAAACATGATACAACAAGAGGATGTGACCAAAGAAAGGAAGCACAAAGGTAACAATCAAATACGTAAAGTGGCACACACAAATACCTGCCTGAAGTCAAAGGTCTTGGGTTTTCCTCCCATTAATTTTAGGGTCTAAAAGTACCTGTCTGGCCAGGTGAATGGCAAGCCCTGTACTTGGTACTTTTAGACTAGACAAAGCACTTGAAAGTATGCAAAGACCAATCCTGCACTGACTCCGGGAAACCAAGTCAGTGATTTAACACACCATTTTTCATTTAGTTCCTGATTCTGCACAAGTGGAGCTTTATAAAGCAAAGTAGGAAGAGACTTGCATCACCTGCATCCTACTTGAACCTGGCACCTGTCCTGCCAACACTTAAGCTTTACGTTAAGGACTTCTTCCTCTCTAGTGCCAGAGTAAATTATCTACTAATTATCTCTGATCTTCCTTTAGTGTGTGAACAAGCCAGTGCATTAGAACAGGAATCTCCATGCTGTGCCAATGCAAAACATCCTTGTGAACAGCCACAGGACTCCCATTCTACTGACAGCTATGGTTAAACCTGCTTTTCAAAGCAGAGTCAGGCCATGTATATTCCTCTGCACCTTACAGCACAAGTTCCTCCCTCCCTAGCATTTTCTCTTTCTACATTTAATCTCATTAGAGTACTTCTATTTATTCCCCTTTTACCACTCCAAAGCATTTCTTCTCTTCCCTGACCATCACATAATGACATACATATGCACACCTCTTCACTGTCACTTAGCCTGACTATATATACAGGAGTTAGCACTTTTATTCTCTTTCAGCATAACTCAAATCTACTTGGTCCCTGATCACTTTTTTTCCTTCTTTGAACTCTGATTTGTCAATACCTAGCTGGTAGAACACTCAGAAATTAACACAATATCCCAAACCATGCCAGTCCCAAAGAAATTACCTCCCCACTCCACATGGTGATTCAGCCTCAGAGAATGAGCATTCAACCCCAAACTGCATTGGCTTTTTGTAGCCATATCACATTGCAAACATCTGTTCCATCTCCTGTACCCAAAGTTTCTTTTAACATCACTGCTACAGAGGTTTCTCAGGCCGGTTTGGGGATCTACTTCCAAGCATTTTGATATGTTCATTCACTTTTCTCATTGACCATAATATTATTTTATTAACACTGACTTCCTTTTTAGCAGTAAGCAGATGCTCTGAAACCCCTATCTAAAAAATGTCACTCTCCTGACCCCAAAGGGGGGGCCCCACAAACAAAACACTGATCTGGATTTTAATTTGCCATGTAAACAGTGTATGCGCTACATGAAAACAAGCACAACAAAAGACTATGATGTACGTATCATATTTAACAGAGTCCAAGACCTCTCCCCTCCATAATTAGACTCTATACATGGAAAGTTTATAAAATTGTTATAATTTTCCACTTGTGGAATATAATTATTGGAGGATTGTCTTAAGTCTGTCCCCACCATCATGGCAGCAGGGAAGGCAGTAGTAGGGACTTCCAGCAGGCTAGGGGGAGGGGGAAGAGAGACACTGTAAGGTGGGAAGAGCAGTGGGGAAAGGTAGTAGAGGGAGGCATACAACTTAGGCCCTGCCCCCTCCACTTACCCCAGCTTGTGCCTGCCCCCCCCAGCCTTACTCTTACTTCATGCTGGCAGGTTCCAGCCACGCTGCAGCCTGGGGCATGAAGCAGGGCAGGGCTCTTTGGTTGCAGGAGAGCAGAACAGGAGGGAGGGAGGGTCAAGGCCAGAGCTGAAGTTGGAGCTACAGCAGCTGCCTATCCCGTTCCCACCTCCCCCCTGACTGCCCCTCACTCTATTCCAAGACAAGGGGCTCTTTTTCTTTTCCCACCCCCTCCTCTCAGGTCAAGTAGGGAAAAAACCCGTGTCTTGGAATAGAGCAAAAACAGGGTTCAGGATGATTTCTCCAACTAGCTTCTGCACTTAAAGACATCCTACAAAAAGAGAGCCTCTTTGAGCCACATTTTACTGGATTCGTTAACCAGATACATATTAATTGAAATCTCCAATGTCCTCCAACTTGAGGAATCTCATGAATTGACATTTTTTGTCACCTATCATAAAGATTAATATATCAGTTACGGATAAGTCATCATCCAGCCCTTCAATAACAAGGTTGGCACCCAACTCCCCTTCACACACAGCCAACATGCACATAAAAACCAGCACCACCAAACAAATAAACAAACCTTAATCTTAATACTAGCACCCTAGAAGTACTTCTTGTCAGTAACTTATCAGCATTCAAAGGTCTCTAGATGTAAATTAACTTGACACTTAATACAAAGAGATGTTACGTAAAATCCACATTTGAAAAATGAAAATGATGGACACAGAATGGCCATATTTATCCTGGCACTAACAGAGGAGACCTGGGCCATCAGGGACCAGCAATGCAAACAACACTTCCTAATGCCAAAACTAAGGCACTAATGAATTCACTGTGCTCTTTTCAGCAATTCATACTCCGGATATCCAAATTCTTCAAGACACAGTTTAAACAGCAGTTCACTTTCATTCCCTTTCTTGCTTAGGACAACCAGGAATATTAAGCAGAAGAACAACAGTTTAAAGCTTCAAAAGATGTTGGTATCAATTACCGCAGTAACTTGAGGAGCTCCTTTCCTTCCACAAAGACAGACAAGCATGCATATCCGAAAGCAGTGGTTTTCAACATTTTTTCTTTTGCGGACCCCTAAAAAATGTTGAATGGGGGTATGGATCCCTTTGAACTGTAAGTGTGGGTATTCACATACTTTTGATTGATCATAGTCTCCCTCAGGGGTCCGTGGACCACAAGCTGAAAACCACTGTCCTAAAGTGATATGTAGATTTTGGATAAACAGACAGAACTGGGGAAAACCATTTAAGAGTACGGTTAACAAGGCAGACAGCAGAGCAGCTGCAGTACACTCCTTTAAAGGGGGGGGGGGGGCACCAATGAGAAAAGGAACTCTTGCTTCTAAAAAGCCAATTTTGTGATACCCAATGTTCCCATCTAAAAGCCTTTTGCAAGCATAATCTGGTCTCCAGTGGAGAAGGCTCCCCATTTCTGTCAGGGTTTACACTATGGGTGTCAAACATATGGCCTGCAGCCTGGATCCAGCCCATAGATGTTTATCAGGATGTTGTAAGGAGTTACTTGCCGCGATGAACATGGCAATTGGTGGCAGGAAGGTGAACAGAGTCAAACACAGCCCTGGTCACCCTCTGACCTGATCACCTGTCACCACTACCACATCCCTACCTCCCTACCCACTGACCTCTGCCACGTGCCCCATGCTGGAGCTGCTGCTACAACATAGCACATGTGGTAACAGCAGATCTGGCTCCAGCATGGGGTATGTAGCAGTAGCAGCTCCAGCTTCAACACAGGGCACGAGACAGGGGCTGCAACCACTGCAGCCAGGTATGTGCCCCAAGTTGGAAACAGCTGCTGCCACTGCTTTCTCAGGCCCTGAGTTGGATCCAGCATGCAAAGGGCCCCGTGGACATCCCTGCACTAAATTACTGTTTGTCTAGCAATTCATAATGAAGGCTATTTAAGGAAAAATTAAAGAGAGATCAAAAATCATATGAGGATATGCCTCTTGGAGTCAGCTGTCACTGTCCTGCAGCAAAAACTCATCTGATCCCTGCAATCCCCTTAACAGCAGCCTCTCGCCTTCCTAACATATCTCCCCCCTCCCCCTTCATACAGAGCATGTCATCAGTAAGATCACCTCTGTAACTCTCATGGCAACCAGGCCACCTTCTCTCAATTCCCTGTTCCACCATGTAACCATTCAAGCTCCTGACCCCCAGCAGCTGTACGCTGCTGCACTTTATCCACTCTTGTGTCATTCTTGCCACAGACACATTCCCTGCCCACTGGCTAGATTCTCCCAAGCCTCTCCGTGCATCTTGTTTGACCAGAATCCCCACCCACCACCTTCACAAGGCTGCCAAGCTCTCCAAATGCAAGTCCTGTTGGGAGAGGATCTCCAGGAGGAACACCTGCAGGGTGCTCCACCTGGAGGAGCCATCTGGGAGTCCCCAACAGGTCCTGCACAGAGCTACCACTTCCCTGCTCACCCAGGGCTCTTGGGGGCAAGAACCACCTGGCCCCACTACTGGCTGCAAAGGCCTGGGGGCAGCACCCCACGCTCTTGAGCCTGTGGGCTCCTGCCCAGCGCCGCCCACGCACCCCGACCCGGCCTCGGACACTTGCACCCTGCTCCTACCGCCTTCTGCGTGGAACCGAGCCGCTTCTCAGTGTCCAACCATCGCCCACAGCCCCCCGCCCCCCGCGGCAAGGGGAAGGCGCCAGGTGGGGCTGCGCGACGGCAGCGGGGAGCCGAGGGGAGGCACCTGCTGCAGGCGGGAAGGGCAGGAGGCGGGGCGGACGCCCCAGGCAGGGCGAAGGCCTGACCGCGAGGCTGGGCGGCAGGTGCGGGGCACGGGAGAGCCGACAGGAGGGACCCGCGCCCAAGAGAAGGCCGGGGGCCGGCCCGCACAGACGGACGGACGGCAGCCCGCGAGGACAGGCCCCCGCCGCACTCACCGGGGCACGCAGTTTGGCGCGGAGCGGGCGATCTCCCAGGT